CTGAGAAATACTCTTAGAATTTTTAAGAGATTTTGTAAAAAAATATTTTCAACTGGTTCGCAATTTCAAGAACTTTTATAATTTTTCGGCTCTTGATAACACCAAATTTTTTAGTAAGTACTTTTGTAATTTGTAAAGAAATTTAAAAATAAAAACATTTTAAATTACTTTCCCGAGGTTCACAAAAAAATTTGGTTATGGTTGCGCGCAGCTTAGTATGAAGGCTGACTTCAAGTTCCGGTATACTTAAGTGCACCGGAAATGTAGAAAGTGAGCAGGAATTTTTGTTGGCGTAAGGAAAAAATTTATGTATATAAATATGTGTGTATTGACAGCTCCCACAGGTCAGGCCTGTGCAAGTAATTGGAGGCCGACTAGCGCTTCCATGTTGAAATTTAATTATTACTAAACATTTTTATTGGAATTGATGCAAACGGACTCACCATTAAATTTACTTTATCGGCGAAGTTATTAATATTTGAGAAATTCAGCGAAGAAGTTGGCCGACTGGCTCAGATTGCATTACTCACATCTACACAAGTATAAATCACTACCACAGCACATACCACGTTACACATATGTTAATTAACACACAAAGTCGCATACAAATATTTTACATAATTTTGTATTGATTTATTTCCATAAAACTTGTAAATTAAGTGTTTTTCTATCGCACGCACTAAAAAGGCGGTTAAAATTCGCGAAGCTTTTACACAAACTGACAGATTTGACAACGTATAGGAAACGGAAAGAAATGCCGAATTGACTAAAATCAACAGCGTTGCCGTTCTATGATTTTCGAGAGTAGTGAATTGAGCCAAAAAGTGGAGTGTTATTGGATTTTCTGTAGTGTCAAAGCTTGCAGCACATTGAAAACGACGGGCTACGGACCACAACTGTTAAATTATTTTAACGCGATGAGCGATGGACCACTGCTGACAATTTATTTTTCCAAGTATTCTTATGTAGGTAATTATTTTGGTGACAACAGCGCTACGCGACGACTGTACTTGTGGCCGGATTAGATTTGTTTCTATTTTTTCAGCGACAGAAAGCGTTCTTCCTCTTAATTTATGTCAAACTCATACAAGTTCATAATAACAAATTGGAAGCTGTGGCCCGTGTGTGTTCAGCACTGTATGTACGACTGTGGTTGTGGCCAGATTAGATTCTAGATAAGGTTCTTCCTCTTCTTTTATTTCAAACTCATACAAACTGATGGAAACGAGGCCGCGGACAAAAAATTCATGTCGCAATCGGCAAAGCGTTTAGATAATAGCTCTGATCCAGTACTCCATGAGTTTACAGGATTTTACACGAACTTGCGAGAAATTGCAAAATCCTCCAAAATCCTGTAAATGAAAGCGACTTTTGGAGAGTTGTGTAGAGAATGAAGTTACAAGATTTTACCCGAACTATTTCTTCTGGTAAAATCATGAAAAGGGTCAACCAATCACTGGTTGACGTTTTTACAGGAAAAATGGTTTTTTGTTCCCGTACTTTTTGTTGTTACTCACTTTTTAATTTAATTTTGCTGTTTGACAGTTTTACAGGATTTTTCACGAAAAGTATTGGATCAGAGCTAATGAAGATAAAGCAAAGTGGCAACGCTGGGCATCCCTCTTTCAGAGACACAATTTGCTCTCTGTTTATATTTTGCGCGCTTTATTGCTCTCTTTGCTTCCAGAGGATTTTCTATTTTTTGCTTTGTTCTTTTGGACCCGTTTTTATCAGCTGTTTTGTTTTTTGTGTCAAATTTTAAAAAGCAATTGATACCACGTGCCGCAGCTGGAAGCGATTAAGCGGAATTTAATCAATTTTTCAAGAATATTTTGTACAACATTGCGGAAAATGGGTAAAAAAGTTTATAATGCGAGGGCGCGTCAAAATCCTAAAACCGTAGTGGACAATTCGGCGACGAAAAATGTAAGTTGAGACTCAAGAGTTGCTGATGCAAAATATGTTTAGTAACCCAGACGCTATACTACTTTCATACCACTCTTCTAGATAAAAATTNTAAAACCGTAGTGGACAATTCGGCGACGAAAAATGTAAGTTGAGACTCAAAGAGTTGCTGATGCAAAATATGTTTAGTAACCCAGACGCTATACTACTTTCATACCACTCTTCTAGATAAAAATCGAATGGGCTGAAGGCGCTGCAGAAGCAGGCACCGGCTATGATGACGCCAATGCGCTGGTTTTACCCTCACAGAAGCGTGCCACCAAGGTGCAGGTGGAGAAACAACAACATGTAAAAATCCTCTCGAAGAAGCAACGTAAGCATCTGCAGCAAATTGTGGTTAAGAAGAAGAAGAAGGAAGGTGTAAGTAGTGATTTGCTTATAATGTAGATCCATTTATGTATCGCTCTTTTCGAACAGCGCGCTGAGCTTCTGCAAGCCTTGGCTAGCGTACAAATACCCGAGCATGAGCTGAAGCAGTACACTTCCATCAGCCAAGTGCAGACAGTGGGAGTTAAAAAGTTGCAAACGCTGGAAGAGGTACTGGCGAAGAAGCAACAGCGACAAACAGAGCAAGCAAGCAGCAATGTAGTGGGGAAAATTAGCGCAATTAAAGGCGCGTCAAAGCGCAAGTTGTTAATTGAGGATGAAGAAGCGTTGGCGGCAAAGAGGCGCGACCCTAATGTGATTAGCCTCGAGGCAGACGACGACAGTGACAGTGGGAGTGAGAGTGATGACGAAAGTGAAGTGGATGATGAAGAAAACAATATAAATGACAAAGATGCAGAAGAAATGCATGAAAAAATTGTTGTTGATGTTGCGAAAGAGGCAATTCCCACGAAACTCGAAGAAGCGCCCTCAACGTCCACGAAGGTGACGAAGAAAGAAGATAGTACGAAAACTGGCGCCACAAAAAAACCCGAGAAGCCCATTGTGCCGCCACGCCCCACCATTTTTGTGCCCGTTCATCGCGATGCAGAAGTGCAGGCTGCTCGTCTTAAACTGCCCATCTTAGGCGAGGAACAGGAAATAATGGAAACAATCAACGAGAACCAAATCATAATTGTCGCGGGCGAAACGGGCTCTGGTAAAACGACGCAAATCCCACAATTTCTTTACGAGGCGGGATACGCGCTGAACAATAAAATGATTGGCATTACTGAACCGCGCCGTGTGGCTGCAATCGCTATGTCCAAGCGTGTGGCGCATGAAATGAATCTATCTCAGCAAGAGGTTTCATATCTAATACGTTTCGAAGGCAATGTCACGCCACAGACACGGATCAAATTCATGACGGACGGAGTGTTGCTGAAGGAGGTCGAGAGTGATTTTCTGCTGCACCGCTACTCGGTAATCATTTTGGACGAGGCACATGAGCGAAGCTCCTACACCGATATACTGGTAGGGCTGCTGTCACGTATTGTACCTTTGCGCCTGAAGCGTGGCGATCCGCTCAAGCTGATTATCATGTCCGCAACGCTTCGAGTGGAGGACTTCATTGGCAATACAAAGCTATTTAAATATCCACCGCCACTATTGAAAGTGGAAGCAAGACAATATCCGGTGACTGTGCATTTTCAGCGGCACACCCCCAATGATTATATGCAGGAAGCATACCGAAAAACAGTTAAGATACATTCAAAGCTGCCAGAGGGAGGAATTTTGGTTTTTCTTACGGGTCAGCAAGAGGTAAACACACTGGTTCGAAAGCTGCGACGTACGTTTCCGTGCATAAAGAAAGATGACGCCAAGAAGGCTGGAGAAAAAGCCAAAAAAGTAGTTGATAAGGCGAATGTCTCTGAGAATGAAGGTATAGAAACTGTAGAGATGTCAAAACAGTTTGCGGAAAAGTCAGATCAGATAGAAGATGACGCGGAAGAGCTACAGGCCGAGCCTGCCGATGACGACTTGGGCATCGAATTCGACATGAAACGCGCTATCCGTAGCGTGAAGAAGTCTAAGAAGAAGTTCATGTCCCAAATCGCGCTGCCAAAAATCAATCTCGACGACTACAAACTACCCGGTGATGATACAGAGGCCGATTTGCACGAAGCGCACAATAGCGATTCGGAGGCCGA